CATATAATTTTTGTTGTTGCTCAAATATTAATTGAAATAATTAATTTCATAATATAAATTAATTTATTTCTTTTTCATCACTAACACCAATATAACCAAGAAATCAGCGACTTTTTAATCCAATTTTGAACAAGTTGAAATTAAATTAGATTACAAATTTTCAATGTTTTTAAAAATTAACTATTCTATGATTAAAATATATTTCGGATTCGCACTTCGTATATCAAAAATATTAAATAAGAACATTTAATTGACCAAGATTATAATAAAAAGTTTCCAATTGCTATAACTGAGACCATATATCATCACATTTGGCGATGACAGTTCTCCTATCCAATTTTGATATTTCACAAAAGATTTGTAGATTTATAGTTCGAGGTCTGATCTATAAATTAGAAAATTACTAGAGAAGGTTATAGGTTCTTAAATTATGGCAAAGATTCTTTATATTTGTTCACTTAACAAGTTATTAACATAACGACGGAGAATGCCAAGGGTTAGGACTCAAGTAAAAATATCTTCAAGAATGGTTCCTAAGACTACATAAGCTTAAAAATCCTTACTTATTTATAATTATCTTTTTCTTATTAATAAGATTATAAATCTTACGAGGTAATAGATGATCCGCTTTCATCTTGTCTCAAAATATTCTTAGATATTCCTATAGACATCACAAAAAAAAAAAAAAAAAAAAAAAAAAAAAAAAAAATTCAGAAGGATTAGTTTAAGAGATATGGGTATCAGACGAAAGTTAATCTTTTTTTTTTACAAAGCTCAATTGATACCTAAATTGTTATGGTAAGATAGAATTGTATCGAATGGTTCTTTAAAGAGGTTTTAACTGCCAAATATATTAAATACGGCCTCTACTGTCCCTCTGAAAGCAATGTTTACTGTTTTGAGACCTAGTAGCTACTCACTTTTCTGAAATTAAATAGTTCATTCTGAGGTTTTTTTAAGGTTGATATATTTGAAAACAATTTAACGATGATATGAGTCAATAATTCATTTATTTGATCATTGCGAAATGAAGAATAAACTATATAGATGAACACTCACTTCACTCGAGATCTTATGAATTTATCAATAAATTACTAATAACTAATTATTCAATATATCTTATTCTCTTATTGTATTCCTTTTTTTTTATTTGAGCGCCTCAGAGTCTCAGATCCCTATACATGTTATTTGTTTAAAAATCGATTAATCGTTTCCTTAATTATCATCATATTCAATTCTCAGTTAAAAACAAACAATGAGGAGTGCCAAAAATTAATATACATTAAAATATAATGTTGGATGAATATTAGTTTTTTGGATTTAGACATCTCGGATTCCGAAGCTTGAAGTGTTAAAACAAATGCCTTTGTTAATTTGGAGCTAAGCTACTGAGTGACGATACAAGTCTTATCAAAGAAAAAGTTTTGTCAAGTTGGCTGTTATCTCGCTAATCTACAACCTCCTGCCTCCATGGTCCTTTTCACTTCCACAAAATTGCCACTCAACTTTAACTAATCGTCAAACATCTTTCTTTGTCACCCACTCATTTATTTTACTCATCAATCAACGTATTTTATTTTGAATATCATTACCATTGCTTTTTTTTATTAGCCTATATACTTTAGATACAGCAAATTGTGTAACTTAATTTGATTTATTCGCGAAACTGAATTAATTCTGTCTTGTCACTAAAACTGATTGTGGGTAGTGAATTGTGAAACTTCAGGTTCTTTTTTTTTTCAACTATAAATAATTTTATTTTTTTTTATTTTAAGTTATTGCAAATATTCAAATTTACCTCTGCTGCGAATTGTTGTTGTAAAGTCGTCGGTACATGTAACGTCATAGTTCTAATTCATACTGTGCAAAGTAGATTTTCTGGGTATTCCTTTCTCTTTGGGATGTAGTACTGTCTACATACTAAAGACAAATTCTGTATTTCTAGTATAAGTCAATTCCAAGCCATAAGTCATTGGATATGATAGAGATCTCCAGAGAGGAAAAACTGATAGGCGCCATCCTATCACTCTACTGATTCAAGCAGGAAGGATTCGTCCAAGTGATAACTTACCTTGGAGTGAGATTTGGACGAAATTTCAACATCAACATAATGCCTCACTTGGACTACTTGGCTGGGAGGATCACCTCTGAATGGGCTCAGTCGAATCGGGGGCGCTCTTTGGGACCTCAGATACCCAGCGACAATGACAATCTATAAAGAAGTACAGGATATTATGAGATATGCGACCACCCTCCCCTGATAACGTAACCCCTCAAGAAAATAGAAGAACAGGCTGGCAACGATACAGAGAACGGCTCTGTAGATCCTAGCAGGAGGGGTTCCTCTAGACCTTATTCTGCTCGGATCATAATGCGGTATATATGAGGCGCTTAGGTGTAGCATTTTAGGCTCTGATAAAATCTTAGAACAGAAGGATTCCTCCAATGAATGGACGTCGTTTTTAAATTTCGTTAGGAATGTTCTTTAGAACTAAATGTTTCGAAATGAAAGAAAAATAACTCTTCATTGGTATTTTTTTTTCAGAGTTAACAAAACAAACCAAAAGACCCAATAGCTGGGATTCATCCCTTCTTTTATACTAGTACCAATGCAAGTACAGGCTACATGTTTCAGTGAAATGCAAACCCACGCCATATTTTCAAAGTCATAGAAGGGCATTGGCTTGTCGAAAAACTTAACTCCAACGATTTCGATTGCGTTTTCCGTGCTCCCAGCTGCCACTCGTTTCTGTACACATCGCCAGCTTATCGTTTCCTTCGTTTGTTGTTTGGTTGGTTTGTTCTTTTCGTCTATTATATTCTTATGCCATCCGCGAAAATTCCTCCTCAGATGTCCTCGGTAGAAAATCTGCATATCGCAGCCCTGATGTAATTGGCAATATTATCGCTGCCAAGATTAGTTTCAATGTCTTACTTGTTACGTATTCACCATCTATCTGCTACATGTATTCCTTAGGCTTATAACTTCTCTCTCCAAAACTTTAAACCGGTTCGCATCTGTTTCTGTCAAGAACCATATTTCAGAGCCATAATATGTCATTACTAATTTTGAAGGTAATTTCACTTCTATACAGAAACGCTTTAATGTGAGTATTGCTTCGATGTTTCTCAATTTTACCAATTATGCAGACCAAATTTCTGAAATTCGGTTTTCTAGTAATCTCAATCATTTTTATTTTATTTTTAAGACCTCTTCAATGGCAAGTCACATCTTAAATATTTCTGCGTTTCAGTGAACAATTTTTGTGAGTTGAAATGAAACGAGTTTTATTGACCTCTACTCCAATTTATTATATAGCCAACCCAAACTTCCTAGGTTAAATCACAGTGAAATTATATGTTCAGCATTATGTTATTTGATTGTAAACTGTACTTTTCAAAAATTCACTTAAACGGTCACTAGATTGATGTTGGTTTCTGAATTTGTATTTTTTTTTTATCTGGATTGCAGTTTTTGATTTTTTCATAATGATCTAGTACTTTTTTAATAGACCAATCATCATAGTGACAAGGAAGATAATTTTAATAATACTAAACACTTACCGTATTTACAATACCTTTATTGAATCTTTGTTCCATCAATTATATTTAATTGAAAATCTTTCCAAACAGTTATTGAATCCTAAATTCGTTTAAACTTCTGGTTAACTTAACACTTCTTCAATAAACTCCATTGCCAAGAACTCATCAAAATGAATTTTCCTCTCTTTTTTCCGGGTAGAGACTCCTCAGCGTCTACTTTCCTCCCAACATTAACTATCTTGACCTTGCTTATGAAAGATCAATGTCTACCTGATTCATGATTGAAAATAGTAGTGATTTATTTCCTAATTTATATATCTCAGCATTCTCTGAAAAAGTCTCATTATATTAAATGAAGAGTCGAGTAGATTATTTATTCGTTTGCCATAGTTTATGTTAATGATAAGATGATGATAGTAGATAGCGTAACATGAAGAACATGATATGAAGTCTCATTGCACAACGTCATTATATGTTATAAGTAATTAAAAGAAAATTCCCAGCACTCAGCTGTTAATGAGTATTGAACTTGGGATATGTATTCCGAGCAAATATCTTCTATAGACAAACTAAGTCGATGAACTAATATTTAAGTTTCGCCCCTAGCTTCGTTCAAACGTACCCTATACCAACTCTCTGAGCAAGAATAATTATTTATACATTGTAAATTTTAAGGATAAAGCATGTGTTTATTGTTTGTCAGGTATTTATTTTATGGGACTTCCTTAATTAACAAAGCATAGGTATCCATTCTAAGGAGGAATGGAGATCAAATGTAATTATATAATGTAAGTAAATTTTTTTTTTATATTTGCAAAAACATTCGTTAACTTTTATTATTTGTTCCATAGAATTATTTGTACGAATCAATTAATATCATATTAAAATTATTTTTCATTAATAATAGTCCGTGAAACAGACCCCTTTTTTTATCAAATTATCAATATCAGCCTGAAACTTCGTAAGTAGCTTCATCTCATCATAACCTACAACTATTTTATGAACGAAAATTTTCGGATTTGGGGCGTTTTCAATCTGAAAATTGGCAAACTTTGTCTATTTAATTAGATACTAAAAACTATTAAATACCCATTTATTTCAAAATGGTACAACTAATAATGAATCAATTTAGGATAATTTATCAGTAAAGTTGAAAAAATAAAAACAGAAATGTTCAAATATTTATCTTACGGCGTCGCTAGAGTAAGGAATTTTTTCGTTCTCTTTTGATAAGCAATGATCGGAGATCTCAATTAAATTTTATCATAATGATATTTACAAACGTGAAAAACGATGTATTTTATAGTATGTATTGGTATGCTTGTGTAATTATTCCAATAAATCAAAGATATGGTTAGTCTACGACTAATAAAATTTCTTTATCAGTTACCTAAAATCCTTTTAATAATATAAAACAAAGACTCATCAATATAGATGATAAAGAAAACTTGGCTTCACTACCTAAGCTGAATTGGATTACATACCCTGCTGATTACTGTGGTGCAGTTCTTTGCTAATAAGATGATATCTAAAATGGCGTACAACAGCCAACAAGTATCCAGAAGCAGTCCTACGAAATTAGCCGAACTGGAAGATCCAGTGAGGTAGGCAGTGAACCCCATGACCACGTTGTAGGTGCTCGATAAGAAAGACAGATAGCGGAAAATCACGATCAGCAACAGCTGGAGGGAATAAACTCGATTCAAGTCAGTGCAAGCTAACTCCAGCCGGTTCAGAGCTTCGATGGCAGTGAGGATGTCGAGCTCCTTGAGGATGTATAACCTCACCAGGAGGAGTTGGAGAGAGTTTATCTGGGAGTCCAACACCTGGAGGAAGCAGTACAACTGGAGTTGAATAACTTGGGTCAGGATCATCCCTGCGAAGAAGTAGCAGCCCCGGAGTACCCGTTCTGCGAGGCTGATTGAGGCAGTCAAGCAGTTGGTCACTTCGAATACTAGTTCGAAGATCAATCTAATGGCTGCTATACCATATGTCTGTTTGTAGTCATAAGAAATATAGACGTTAGCCTTCGTGAGGATCCTCTCTGTCTTCTGGACGATGTCGACGACCGACTTCACTTCACCCACGAAGAGCAGTATCCTGAAGAGTTGTGCGAAGGGAACCAGGCTGAGGATAGCCATCTTGAAGGCGAGAAGAGTTCGATGCCTTTCTGTCCGCTCCGACTCCCTCACCAAGGACATGTAGATGACCTCACCGACTACGAGGGCGAGCACTACGAAGACAACACCCGCCAAGAAAACATAGAACTTGGACCTCCGGAAGGCACCGTCCAAGGGAAAGAGACCGAAGATCCTGCTGACGTTGAGTACCGGATCCAAGAGGTCCCTGAACCTCCGGAATGCCATCGGTCGTCCCGACTGACCGCTCTTGAGAACTGTATCGATCATAAAATGCAAACACATTAGAGCTTGCCATCTGATTTTCACCGGTTCCTGCTGGTTCAATAGGTCATATCTGATATAAAAGTAGTTTGGAACTTCAATTGACATATCTGTTAAATTCTACTATTAACTGTTATTATCTAATTATAACTCAAGAAGCAATTTATTTACTTATTATCTGTATCCCGGAGGTAAAGAACACCATGTCCATTTTTTTATTAAATAATTTAGTTTAAAATTGACAAACTTAACTTTTCAGTTAGCTTCCCACCATTTATATAGTTATACAGGAACATAGTGGTAAATATGAACTAAACCGTTGGCCAAAATTATTTTTGTACTTTTTCTTTCAAATGGTTGTGATTCATTAATTTAAGAAGTAATACACAAATGAAAGAAGTTTTTAAAGTTACAATATTGGAGTTGGCATGAGAATGTAATGTTAAAATAACGTTCTAGAATTTACCTGAATCAGCTCGCTATGTATCAGGTATCATTACTGTAGTAAAATTGTTAAAGTCTTTTGATATGGCTCTGGAAATGTAGTATTTCTTCGTGAGTGGTTTATTGGTTGAAGAACGCAAGCTGTTGTGTCTATAATGGTCAACGCCATACCATTTGATGGGTTTGATTTTTTTTTCTCTCGATCTGAAAGCAATCTGTGATCTGTGTAAATCAAAATAAATATTTAAGGTAAAGAAATATTAAGCAAAATAAAATAAAATATTCATATATATATGTGCAATATTTACAGAAATGAAGTCAAATGTACGTTTTATGCACTTAAGTAAATATTATCCAAAATTGTGACGGGTATAAGTTATTTTACATGGTGAGCAGTGTTGAAAAAGGTTAGTTTTGAATTTTGAATTAAGTCTGTTTATAACCATAATCCTTTTGTAAGTGGGTTATTTCAGGTACTTAAAGATTTGTTCCACAAATCTGTTTTGACTTACCTTACTATTTATTATGGAGGAATTATTAACAATTTCCATTATTGATAATAAGCTTGATATTAATGTTGTGAAAACATATGCGACGGTTGCTAAAATAGAAGAGCCACCCTAAATTGAAGCAGGATTGTGTACACAAACCGAACAACTATCTCCACTCAGTTGATGGCCCATTGTGGCTTCATTAACTCCACGGCAGTGTTGTCGTTGATGGCTGTTGTGGTTGTTTCTGTTATTTATAAAGTAGGAGGTTGGAACCCCTGACATGGATGGCAATGGAATCGAGATGAGCTATTGCTACTTTACCACGTTATAATTACTGTATTTACTGTCGAGTGTTATTGGAAAAATATCGATATATTTTTTTGAAATATACAAATATTATTTATATCGATACATGGCAAAATTTGGTTACAATTATAAATTCGAAAACAACATTTTTTCGAGAACGGAACACCCCAGTTTGTATGGATAGAGAGGGGGAATAAACAAAACGCCATGTGTCTCACCTTTTTTCCAACTTTAAGCCAAATCGAACGAGACATTTCTAAAATATTGGCATATTAAAGAAAATACATTTGCGCATGCGCAAGCAGAAGTACAGTATTAGGTGATATATTACATCGATTTGACTACAAACATACCTACAGACAGACAGACCGACAGTCAGACAGACAGAGGACCAAATATGATTCTTGATTTCCGATTCTGAACACAACCATTTTTTTTTAACCTTCCGTACGAATAATTCGGTTTTGAAAAAGCAAAAAAATCAAGGTCAATATTACCTAAGGTATCTTGAACAATTATATGTATTCGACTTTTCTCCCAGATCAGTTAAATGTTATGCGAATGGTCATAACAGACATTTATTATAAAGTTTTTGATTTTTTTAAATTATTGTTTTTGAAAAATAAATTTAAATAGTAAAATTAAAATAATATATTTTTTTAATTTATAATGTTAGTAAAAATTTTAAAAAAAATCATATATAAATTATTTATTTATATTTTTTTATTTTAATGAAATTTACAACTGTATTACATGAAAAATACAAGTAAATGTGACATTGGTAACATGGCATGTACAACATGAAGAGAAACTACCCGTTGGTAGAACTCAAATTAAAGTTCTATATTAGAATCTTCTTCCTCTTTTCAGACACCTCAGAGGGTTATAGGAATAGAAGAGGAAGCAAGATTGGAAACATGAGGGTTTGGATGGTTCAGAAGCTGACTATAGAAGGATAGGTATCTTGATTGGGCTAAATCGGAAACATATGGTACGTTAAGGTAGTTAAATTATTTATTAAATTAATGTACTATATAAACTGTATATGTCATTTCTTTGTTCATTTGTTTTTATTATCTTATTTACTTTTTACTATAATTACCAGTCTAAAAACGTTTAATGTCCTTAGAATCTAAAAGTGGATTAATGGAGTTTGTGTAATTAATTATGTATTCATACAGAAATACTAATCTTTATGGTGAATCATGGACACACAGACTTGTAAACTAGTGACTATTTATTATTATTAAGAATTAATATTTACCCATGTAAATATTGTCATTAGTCAAGTCGCTTGGTTTAAAAAAATGTTCATTCTGCTAACTGACAATAATGCCTACGCTCATCCGTCATCTGATAGTATAGATATGTTTACATTATTTCAGTGATTCATATATAGATAAAATTATAATTACAATAACTGATGATTTTAATTTAAGTTAACTCAAAAACGTTCCCACAATATCAGGAAATTTTGAAAAGATGATTGAAGGACAAACTGTTGCTCCCCTTCATCCAACGAAAAGGAATGAAAAATGGGCGGGTTCTGAGTTTTAGAGGGTATATATATCGCTTGCTCATTCCCCATCACTCCTTTTAACACACCCTATCCCTCTTGAAGAGGAGGGAGGAGGGAGAGATTGCCATATAGCTCCCACTCGTTAAGTCCTTAAGCCGCTTAAGTCCCGGTGCTTCGGTGTCATCTACCTTTGCCTCTATAAAGGTCGTCCTCAGGCAAATTAAATTCTGTACTGGTTCGTATCTACGCTTAATCAACGATTGTGGTTTATTGAGCATAAGTTAAAAAGACATTATTTACTGAGTATATAAGTTATTTATACTTAGTACATATATATTTCTTAAGTTAATAGAGTATATATAAAAATGACCGTTTTATTAAATTCAAGATTTCAAAGGACTGAAAATATTTTAATCGTATTTAATACTTACCGATACTTAATAATCCCTTTAGGACATTCTCTAAGCTTGTTTAATTCCATTCGACTTCTTAAGAAAAAACCTTACTTTAGTTATTTGTTTCAAAGAAGGAACATGACAGTGCCCTACAAAATTCTCGTAATTTTAAGGCATTACTGGAAAAAAAAAATTCACAGCCGCTGAAGCAACTCGTGAAATTATTAAATATGAATGGAAAGGTGTCCTTGACTTGCGCGGCATTGGGTTAAAAAATATAGTAATGGAGATACGACGTTGGAAAGGAAAAAGGACTCCAGGCGACTATATCGAAAGACACTGTTAGCCGCCATCTACTCTCCATGAGGAAGGTGAAGAAGAGCAATAGACTGGTCCCTCACGAACTTACTCCTCAGCAATCAGCTTAGAGGTTAGAAATTAGGGAATATTTATTGAAAAACTCCTGACTAATCCACAATATTGTCCGGACCTCACACCATTGGATTACTATTTATTTAGATCCATGGCCCATTTTCTTCAAGGGAAAACATTTGACAATTTTTCGGAAGTTGAAATTGCTGTCCAAGAGTTCTTTGGCAGCCATCCCAAAGAATGGTATCAGCGTGAGATCGAGTAATTGCCTATCTGATGACTAATGACGGTAGATAATATTGGACTATACTTTGTGTATTGATTGTATTTTGTATCAAAGAAAAAATCAAACAAATATTTGGTTGAAAAACGTCCATTCTGCAATATTTCAAATTATAAGCACAAGTCAAAGTTTATTACAAACTTATTTTTCAGCGTTTTGCCAACTTCTAGCAACTCGCAGTACTATCTTTTTATCAAATTATTAACAGCCGTTTAAAACTCCGTGAATAGCTTTATCTTATCATAACCTACAACCTTTTTGTTTACGAAAATCCTAAAATAGAGGAAATTTTTCAATGTGCAGCTCGGTAAACTTTGTTTAATGTGCTAAAAACTCATGAAATCCATTTGCTTTCCATTTGAAGCGGAAGGTCATTGTTAAATTAATATATATACATTTAATTAATATATAGACATTCATATATGTGTCTACATTTAATATGAATGTTAATGTTTACATTTAATTAATAAAGTAGTTAAAACAAATAAATATATTTTATTAATTTCATACATCGTAAATAATTCATAACGAAAATATTTAGCTGTAAATATCTCCTGAACAATGTGTTTGTAGGTATACCTTCAGAGGAAATTTTTTTCTTGTTTTGAGATCCTTAGTTCATTTTTGCAGTTTGGTCACTTAACCCTAAAACACTCCGTATAATAATAAAAATCTAACAATAAGTTTAAATCTGAGTATTTCACTGAAGTTTAAAAGAGTACAATTAATTTGTTGCCCACGGTCGTGGACGCGTAAATAGAAAAACAAATATATATATTTTACATCGATGGTTTTTAAAATTATCCAAATAGTATATTAAGAAAATATCGACATTTCAATACATCAGACCTGGATATTGTTAATCTGTGAAAGAAAGGAGAGTGAGTTAAATTTAAAGAGATTGTTTAAATCAATTACCACAATATAAATTATCAACTAGTTAAGATTTTATGTTAAGAAAAAAAATTAAAAAGAACTAGCCAAAAAAATTAATAAGTGTGTAAAAATTCAATATTGAATGAATTACTAAAAGAACATAGAAAAAGCAACAGGACCAAATGATGAGCATTAAAAAAAAGTTTAATAATAAAAACTATATAAGCCTGCATTAAATTGCAAAAGATGAAAAAAAAATTGAATGAGTAATTATTGAAAACTATCTAACATATTGAAACCATCAATTAAAACAAAAAATTAAGTATTTTTAAGGTAATGTGTTAAAAAACGCATTTTAATGTGCTCATCAGGTATTTTAAAGAGAAAATATCTGTTTTTGATAGCCTTAATTAGATTTA